GGTGGGGATGGGGGGCAGAGGCAGGACTGTGCATGCACGGAGCCTCATTTTTGCCCCACCGTCCTTTAGGGATTCAAGGTGTTGATCAGTATAATGAAGCGGGCCCATTGATTTACCATCTATTTGGTAATGTCCTTGCATTTTTAGCTCCCTGTGTCTTTTTTGTCATTGGGTTACATTCAAGCACAGTAAGATCAGCTTTAAAACCTCCTTACTCAACAGCTTTATTAGTTATAGCATTCCATGACCTTTCTCAACATTCTTAAAGAAAAAGATACAGTGTAACGTCGCTTTACTTTGCTTATTGTCCTTTGTTGGGGTGAACAAAGCATTTTCTACAGTGGCTATAGCACATAATTATACAGCTTTCAATGGCAGTGTCTTGGCACATATCAAAGTTCAGAGAAGCCTTTAGAAAAAAAAAAATGTTTTGTGGCAGCCTAGGGAGGGTCTCATCTTTCCTTCAGAAAATAGTTCAAGGCTCTTCTGTCAAGCTTCCCTACTTAGAGCTTTTTCTCCTCCTGCTTCATAAAGTTTAAAGCGGATTCAGTGGAGTTCTATGATCTATTTCCTTTGAAAGATTGTTCCTCAGCACAGAGAGGCCCTTTGACTTCAAGAGTTCACAGATTCATGTCTTTAGGTATCATATGTCTGACCTTATCAGTTACTCCATTTAATGTCGGAGAAAAAGTCTCGACTCTTTGTGTTAGTCTGTTTTGCCTCTATGAAATGATTTGGTGAAAAGACCATCCTTTTTAACACACCACTGAGAGGCCGTTTCTGCTGCAACCTACCCTGTGGCTTTTCTCTCTTTAAAAAAAAAAAAAAAAAAATTGTCCTTGTGTTTTGTGTATGGATGAGTTCACAGTGAGAATAGAATTATACAAGGGCAGACGCACACACAAAAAAAATCTTTTGCTTTCCTCCCTCCCTGCCCCCCCCATGATCTATTGGCTCTCTTGGTGGCTGTACCCCAACAGGAGAAGCCATTTAGCAAACACAGAGGTGGCAGCCGTGATGCTGGGATGGCAGTGGGTTTTCCCTTGCTACGACCTACCCCTAAGGCCTTCATAATTAATTGTCCTTCAGAGATGAGGGAAGTTCAGAGACAGTGTGTGGAGTGATGTCCATTGTCTGACATTCAGTTCTCCTTGCCTCTGCTCTTTATCT